ACGCAGTGGGCAAGAGAGGAGGAGTTAGCATAGCGATAGGTTAGAGGCAGCCATAGCTGCCATAGCTGTAGTTAGTAGTGAGTGTGTGTGTGTGCTCGAGTGTTAGAGTGATGCGTGTGGGATATCCAGGGTGATCCAGTGTATGTGGACAGAGAGATGTTTGGGCGCTGAAGTCGCCATAGCCAATTGAGAGTGAACTCGTATCTGAAAGCCATATCTCTGAGTTTTGAGTGGGCGCATGTCGCCAGTATACTGTGTTGCTGTTTACATGCATGAAAAGTGTGTTTGAGAACGAGTCTGATTGCAAAATGTGCAATGCTAATAAAATTGAATCACTCACACACTGCATGATAGAATGGCCCCATGCAGATACTTCATGGAAAGCTGTCGAAACAGCCTGGTCCAACATCTCCTCAAACCCGTTCCCGATACAAGCAGACTACCTCCTATAAATAGGACTCAACGAAAATTCCTAGAATTATCCGCCAAAAAGAAACACCCTAAAAGAGGAACAAAAGAGGGAAAAAAACAGCCATGAATAACACCAGGCCAAGGGGAAAACAGCCAGCAGGCACACACCAGGTAGAAAGTTACATAGAACCCCATTGATACGGAAGGGACTACCTAGCAGCGAAGTGAAGGACAGCTCAGAATAAAAAATCAGTAAAAGTAGCCAGTCGACAAGGTTGGGAAAGCAAGGGCCTGAGTAGAGAGAGAGAGAGCGTACAGGGCTCAGGGTTTAGCACCGTAGATTCCATAGACATTACTATGCACACAGAACGAAGCATCCCTCAGGGCAAAGTGTACCAGAAATCGAGCAGCAACAGCAGACATCGGAAATACAAGGGCTTGCACCAAGCAAAGATGACAGCAACTAGGTCTAGTAGGAGGAAAAGCTTTTCTAACGAGGACCACAGCAAAGGGACCAATCAGCAGTTCTGGCAAGGAACGGAAACCTGACAGTTAAAGAGCTGGAGGAACAGGCTGATAGGAATCCAAACAGGCATGGCCCTAGTATCTAAACAAAGACTGCGAGGGATTAATAGAAGGACTAGTAGATGGGCTAACAGTCAAAGGCAGAAGCTTTATAGTACAGGCTAGCTTAGGCAGGGGTGAGGAGTGGTACACATCCTTCCTTCAGGACGTAATCAATGCCGCCCCTTGTCCCTTCCCACCATAAGGGGGAGGAGCGTGCGTGAGTACTCTTTGTAACCATTTTTTACTTGCCGATGGAATAGGAACCGGACTGATGCTCTCCAAAATGGAAACGTCTGAACTCCAGTCACCTTCTGTTTTAGTATGCCGTCTAAAAAAAAAAAAAAAAAAAAAAAAAAAAAAAAAAAACCAGCATCACCATGTGTTACTGAAATCCTCTGAACTGTCTGGCATTCAATGAGATTAGCAATAGCTTGTCCTTACAAATTGAAACGTAGCCGTCCACGAAAGGCTTTTCAAAAGTTTTTCTTTCTTGATGGCTCTGTGTATTCGGATCTCAGAAGAAGTGCAACCATCTAAACGAGGAGGATGTCATTACCAATAATTTTGACGATTCATTAAGACTTTGACTTTTACTTTGCAGCATGGAAATTTCTTTCGAAGCCACAAACGGAACTGAAGTCAAGATCTGAACCCGCCACCGACTTCACAGAGTTGGGGTGTTCCGTTTTCTTTCATTGCCATTCGCTAATGCACCAGTCGCAAATCTCACCCAGGTCTGCTGGCGATTGTCTTGCAGCTGGCAGTGTGGTTCAGCAGGAGGGAATACAGTGGGAAGACTCTAATAGCGTTCAGAGCCTCTGCTCCGACATCTGACAAGAAGCGCCCGCAGTTCGGGGTCCAAAATGACAGCCGTGTCACTGCGTTCTTATTACTTCTTTTTTTTTCAGAAAGGGATACGGCCTTGAGAATAGTACCATCATGCAATTGAATGGCCCTAGGTATTCATTTTACTCGTTTATTTCAGCAGGAGTTCGAACTCGGGTCTGTACTTCAACAGTTCAGGGGTGTAACCAACTGAGCTAGGCCAGTTGGTAGCGCTGTTAACGGATGAAGAAGAAGAATTTCGTGAGCTTGGAACGGGAGCTACCCCGTTTCCTCGAACACAACACACCTTCATCATGACTGTATGGGAAAGATTGCCTGTATACGTTCACAATCTGGTTGTGTTGTGCTCGGGGGAAGGCAATAGACGATAAAAGGCAACAGAGTAGAGAGAGAGGGTGTGCAGCATTGTCCAAACCGTTATGAACTTAATGCTATAATAATGTGTGTTTCGGACTGTTTCCTCCCCCTCCCCCCCACCCCCCCCTCCCTTTTTTTAACGCCTGTTGTGATTGCTGTCCGGGGTGATATGAGCAGCCCCGGGTAGCCACAATGTGCGCTATGATAAGCTTTTGGTTGTTTTCCGAGAGATCATTCTGCCCATTTTTCCAAATTGGGACTGAAGCTACTTTAGGCAATGAAATGCGACATAGGAGAGAGGCGTTGAGCAGCTGTTGCCAAGCTGTTATGACACTGCAATGCGCATTATGATAAGCTGTTGGTTGCTCGCCGACAGATCGTCCCAGTCATTCTTTACCCCTCCTTCATCCTTGCATAGCCAAAGCTCTTCTCTTCTGATATCAACTGGTCAAGGTTCCATGGCCCCCCCTTTCTCCGCTGTGTTTCCGCCGATCATAGCACAGTGACTGTTGTCATGTTGGCCCTGCTTCACTGGTTGCCCCGCGGAGTGGTACACACCTATGCCTTTTGATGAGCAGATCACCAGTTCAAGTCCTACCTGACTCATTAATTTCCCCTTCAGAAAAAAAAAAAAAAAAAAAAAAAAAAAATGTTGGCCCTGCTGCTTTATGGCATTTTTTCATCATGTGTGTCCACATCAGGGGCCAACGCCATGGTCCAGACTTCCCAGTCAGTTCCCGAGTTGTTTCCTGAAGTCAGGTCCTCCTTGTTGCCGCAGACTGGAGGTTTGAGTCCTGTACCCCTATCCCCGCTCGCGGTGGGAGCTACTAGTGCAAGTGTGGCAACTTGGACATCATCCAGTAGTCAGCACGACGAGTCACCAAAACGTCAAGCACTGCTACAAAATGGCAGCTCATCGCCACCACTGACACCACCCTCATCCATGCTCATCTCTTCTGAACCTCGGACCGGAAGCTTGGCGTCCATAGACTTCGGTCGGAATGGTCGAGACACTGTAACAACACTTCGATCTCACGTAAGGCACCCGACCTTGATTGCATCTGCTCCTCATGACCCTGTACTTTCTTCTTCAACTAACTCACCGGATGTTTCCATGCCTGCACAACGCCCTTTCCGGATTGGCAGGCTCAACACCTCACTTGTGGACCTGCCAGTCGTGGTTGGGTGTGGAAAGGCCAAGCATGCTGCTGTCAATGAGAACGGCGGGGATGGGCGTGTTCAGATTTCTGCACGCAGGAGGAGGAAGGCAAACCGTGCAGCATCTAATCCGTCCTGGGAAAACCCGGGAAGCAACGAAGAAGGTGGCATCCCTGAAATCGCTGCGCTGTCAGCAACTGCGATGAGCAGATCCCAGCCAACAAGGAGAAGAAGGCTGATGGGCTCAGAGTCGTCAGTGAGTGGATATTTGGAGAGAATAAGCACCGGCATCACGACCAGATACAAAATCCGAAATCTTGCCATTTGTTTGATTGGCAGTGCGCACGTTCTGGAAGCCACAGGGTATTCGATATTGCAGAACCTTCTCTGGCCGTCCGATGCCGACGTGTTTATCTGCTCTCCCGAGGATAGTGATGCCCACAAATTATCAGCCCTATTACTGCATAACAAACAGTCTCAGAGTGATCATAATGAACCTATCGCAACTGATGAGCAAGAGCAAGAGCAAAGGTGGCAGCAGCCACAAAAACGGAGACAACCACACAGTGGTAGGGTGGATGCACCCCAAATCCGCATTGCGGCTGTGCACATTTTCAAGCCCGAGCTGTTGTTAGCATCTTACTCAGCCCGGATCCAGGATAGCTGGCAGGAACTGCTCTCTGGCATTGATCCAGATACTGGAGGTAGTTTGGAAGACGTTCTGCAGGAGTTCGGTCAATTGCAGGCTTGCTCGGTCTCTGTTCGGCGTTACGAGACAAAGAACTTTCTTCGTTACGCTCACATAATGTGGGCGCAGCTTGACAGCTTCTGGACCGCAAACGTCATGCCAGTCTTGCCTCATCATAGCTCCAACACTGATTATTTCATTCCCGAGGGAATCTTTGGCGTGCCGGCAGGTCTGAACACCCATTTTGGCTTCGGTTCAGCAGCGGCTAGTCATGCGGCAATGCGAAGAATGTCCATGCTAACTAAACTGCCACGGGTTGGTGTTAAGAACGTCAGTCCTGAGCTGGCTTTCAGTTTGTGGTTGGAAACGCAGGGGATCAACGTTCAGCCGGTCAACCTTCCATTCTGCACTTTGACTCGTCGACCCGTTACATGGCCACCGCTCCCGCCCTTGGGAATTCCCGTATTCCCTGCCATGCCTATGGGGCCCAAGTACGCAGGCAGCAGCAGTTATAATCTGAATGGGGCCCTTTGCCGCCCATGTTTTCCAGTCCTCACTGGAACTGTGGCTTTCAACCTTCTCCGGGCGCTCAAACATGGCAGCACAGGCGGCACAGGCGGCACAGGCTCAAGGTCACGAGAGATTGGGCACATAATGCCACCTGGGCTGTGTGATGCATCCAACCCAGGTTGGGATGCCGACTGGGAACAGAACTTTGACTCCGTGATTGGCGGTGAAGCTGCTGAATTTCGCAGGAAAATCCAGAATCGCAACTTCTCACAATGTCTGAGCGATTGGGATGAGGTCCGTGCAAACACCCCCGCCGAAAGCTGGCACAGTCCCAGTTCCAAGGAGATCTGTCGAAGGGGATTTCTTGGCATGCCAGTGTTGATTGGGTCCGAGCTGCGGAAATGGGGGGTCTTCTTGAAACCCCTCAATCCATCCAGCATCGTCTACTGTTTTGTGAGTTCTTTTCCCCTTCCCTCTCCTCTCCTCAACTGTCCTGTGTTTTTCCCTTGCATCCTTAACTGCCTGTCTTGACCATTGGCCAGCTTTGCTTTCCCTGCCGTTGTTCTTCCCTTGTTAGCTCCGTGTGCCATCTACCCCTGCACACTTCTCTTTTCTCTCTGCTTCACGCTTCTCACCCTGTTTGTCTTGCTAGTCTTCTTCTACACTGACCTTTAAAGCACCAGTGCGCAGCCCAGCTTCTGTCACGTCGTGCCGGTTAGCATGGAGCTGTGGTCAGGTTGGGCCTACCGGAGGTGGGTGGCCCCAGCAAGGGGCCACAAAATTTTGAGTGCCCCCCCAATCTAACGAAAAGTGTTAGGGGAAATAGTTAATGATTTCCCTGCTAGGCTACTTTTGCCAGGGCCGAAGCCCCGGGGGCCAACATAGCTGAGGCAGGCCTCCAGAGGGCACGTCACTGCAGTAATCACTTCTTATGCAACATGTCAGTGCAGGGTGATCTGCCGGATTGTCTGCCAGGTGAAGGGGGTGCCAGTTGGGTTGCAATAATGATGACCCGTACTTTTGTGGACTGCGGTTGACGTCACTTCGGCATTCAACCGGTGTCAATCGCCGGTGGTCATTAATGGCATCCTAGGGTTTTGTTGACTACCAGGGATGTCTGACTACAAGTGGGCATGGGGAGGTAGGGAGTGTGCATGGCCAAGCATTTAAGCTGTTGGATTAGGTTAATTTTATTCGCTTTGTTCTCTATGCACGGACAAGGTGCTGAACAGTGTCACACAGTGAGTGAGCGGTTGGGGATGAGTTGGTCGCTAGTTATACCTGCGATCCTGGAAGAGGGGTGGAGGAGGGTAGAGCGTGATGGTGGATCTTACTTGCACGTTGGGGGTCGACAAGCTGGGTGGCCAAAGAGTTTTGGAATGCTGGGAGTAAGCTGATTGTGGAGGCAATTTCCTGGTAGGAGATTGCATGCTGCGGGTGAGGGACCCATATCGAGAGTGTGCAATCATGGAAGTCAGGGGATAGGCAGCAGAACGTTGGTTTGGTATCCTGGGATGGGTGGACCCTAGGTCCCCATCACCTGTTGCACTAAGAGCAGCATGATCTTGACCAATTGGTCCACTAAAGGAATGTGAGCTCCCCTGCATGCTGGCTACAGCGGGAAGATCCACCATCACGTGGGAGCTTCTATCCCCTTGAGCGACAGGACCTTGAGTCCCCTCTCGAAGAGCATCTCTCTTGGTTCCTTTCTGATGGCACAATGCTTGGCACCCTGGGATGAGAAGACCCTAGTTTTTTATTTATTTACTGGCACCGTAAAGGATTGGGAGGCCATTTTAGCACTAATGGTGAGCAAGGAGGGTGGTAGATGAGACACCGCCTGGCTAGTATGTGCTGGTGGTTTAAGGGCATTGTCGGGTCAGCAAGGGAGATGACGTTGAGGCCTCAGTAAAGGAGATGAGGTTGAGGCCTCAACTCTTTTTTTCTTTTCTTTTTTTGAAACATCCGTGGGAGGCGCCACAGGGGGTGATACGAGCATCCTCCTGTGTTACACTCCCGGCAGATGGCTCTTGTCTATTGGTGCGGAGCTGCAGCTCCTGGAAACCAGGTCCAGCGTCCCTTACTCAGAGAGTTACAAAGATATATATGAGATGTGGGACAATGGCACCATGGTCCATGCCATGACTGATGTCACTGATTTCTTACAGAATGATGCTGTTTTCTTGCCACAACAAACCGTCCGCGATCTCTTTTATGTCGAAGATCATTCCTCTGGCCCCATGCTGCAGCAAAACAATGTACCAACACTGTGCGACCTTCTCCTTTGCACAGCCACAACTACTGTTACGCTCGGTTGTAGCCGCCATCGTCTCTGTCACAATCACTACAATGACATGGTTTCTGCATCCATGTGTGCACAGGACTGTCCCTCCATTCCTAACTGCAGGCACCCTCCGCATCCAGACACTATATGTCCATTTTGCGGCCATGGGCGCTATACTGAATGCATGGTCTTTTGTGGTGACCGTTCTTCCTTCATTTTGGCCTGCAATCGACATAACCATTTGTCGGGGGTGTCTGGTGGGCATGCTCAATGCCAGCCATCGTGGCAATTGTTGCACTGAGAATGCTCAGCTAGGTCTTCCATGTGTTCATCCACCTCATCCTTACAATGTATGTCCTCTCTGTAGTCAGGGACAGACTCATTCTTGAGCCTCCACACTCCATACTTTCCCTTACTTTCCTTTCATCGTTCTTTGTTTGTCTGCTCTCCATCTCTCCTCCTTGTGTTTATCCCCTCCCCCTTCACTCTGCGTCTTTCTCACAGCAGACAAGTGGACTGTTATGGTACACGGGAATGGGGGCAGCTCGCGCTCAACTTCATCAACGTGGCGAGCCTTGTACGTGAGAGGCACGGTGAAGGGGGAGTTAAGAGAAGAATGAGAAAAATGAATGGTTTCCCTTCATGTTTGTCTTGTTTTTTTTTGTTTTTTTTTTGTTTCTGCTGTTTGTTTTGCAAAGTGCGCTCTTTTAGTTCATAGTTATGTGACAATATATATGTACATTTACCGGGGCCACTACCCGGCTCCAGTATCATCTGTCTGTAAGTGAGAGGATCAAGATACTGTACTTTGATTCTCTGTAGGAATCAGGGCCAGCACACTCCTCTCTGGGGGGCACCAGACAGGTAGCCTTCAGCCTTTCTCTCTTACCCCACTGATCCTATTCCTACCCTATCCGTGGCAATACCAGGCATTCTCAACTAGGGACAGAGCATGTGGGGGGAAGGGATCGGGGAACTCAGAGGGGGGCGAAGCAGTAGGTTGGGGTTGAGGGAGGTGCAGTCATTAAATTATAATAATCTGTAGTTCCGCTGCACCCTTGCTGTACCAGTTTCAGCAGTGTCCGCATCTCGCCTGTCTCCCTCCACCCGACCCTCCCATTTGACGGATGCCATCCATCCTCCTTGATCTCCTCCCAACCATTCTCTGCCAAAATTTGTCCTTATTTTCTGAATTTCCAAGGGATCATGTACAAAAGCAGTTTTCTGTAGTTGCCTCCCACCTCGCTCGCAGATCCGTTTGGATGTGCTGCTTGATGTGTTCTGTTACTTCCTATCCCTCCACTCTCACCTTCTCCATAACTAGAACACATCTCTTCCGCCAGAGAGCCCATAGTATCGTCTGTCGGCCCAGCTGAAAGAGGTTATCTTTAAAGCTATCCGTCTGGCTTTGGGTCCCAGTGTCCGGTTAGTATGGCTCTCCAGTCCCAGGGCCAGTCCTCTCGCACCGTCTTTCTCCAGATCCAATCCAACCATCTCCAAGTGAGAACCGCTCCTGGGCACTGCATAAAGATATGTTCAGTCATTTTCGGGATTTTCCTATTGGGAAAACTTTGCGGGCAGCTAGGGCACCATAAAAGTGCCACCCCTTTTTGTTCCAACCTTGTGTGATCAATCAACAAGTTGTTAGTAGGCAGGCATCTATGTGCAATCTGCTTTTGTCAACATGAGATCTTAGCTGGCTTTCTCTTTCCATCCTTAAACCATCTGATCAGTTGTAGCAGGTTGTGGGGTACATCCACCTATCATTGATGACGTCTTTGTGCAGGCCGTGGGGTACATCCTTAAACCATCTGGTCGGAGCATCCGATAGGTGAATTTAATGGAGGGCTTGTGGAGTCTGTGTTTTTTTTTTTTTTTTTTTTCAATCGCCTTGGCAGAGGCATTTTGAGGAGGCCACTGCCAATTCTCTAGACCTAAGACCAACATTTTCTTTTGGGTCGGAGCATCCGATAGGTGAATTTAATGGAGAGCTTGTGGAGTCTGTTTTTTTTTTTTTTTTTTTTTTTTACCAGCTTGGCAGAGGCATTTTGAGGAGTCCACTGCCAATTCTGTAGACCTAAGGCCAACATTGCAATAGATAGATCCGGGCGGTAGGCCTGGCGCTCCAGTTCATCACCCAGAACTCGAATGCGAAAGAGTTGGTTGCTGTCGATCCAGTGGAAGGGGGTGTGGCTCCCTTTCAGACGGGCCTCAGTCTGCAGCGGTAGAGTTCTACTAATGCAACCTCCGGGTGGGTCGTTTGGATTTGTCACCCGACCTTCCTCTCCCACTATTGTGACCTAGTTGCCTTCTTGCAGGATGGGACCCTTTCTGAGTATTCTGTACCAGTCCAGTGGAAACGAGAATATCCACTCCTCCAGCCATTCCTCGATACCTCGGCCATATCTGACTACGCCCCTCATTTGTTCTGGTGTTTTCCATGTGCAATCAGACTTGCTCTCATTCACACTTCTCATGCATGCAAACAGGTGTGCAAACAGGTGTGCAGCAAACTGGCGACAAGCGCCCACTCAGAACTCAGAGATATGGTGACCGAGAACACAGATCAGATACAAGTTCGCTTCGATGGCTATGGCGACTCAGCGCCCACACAACTCTCTGTTCGCATACACAGGATCACCCTGGATATCCCACACGTGATACTCTGAACACACACACACACACACTGAACTCTAACTACAGCTATGGCGGCTATGGCCGCTACTACCCTATCGCAATGGCTACACTCCTTCTCTCTCGCCCACTTTGTCCTCGGGTTCACTGCAGACCACCTCGCACAAGTCGCTTGTGGCAGCGCTTCTGCATGGCTCACGCAGGAATGAATGAATGACTGGGCGCTGCCTCTTGATTTATACTTCTGCAGCTCGTTGGTCTCTGGCCCTTTCCCATGCCCGTAGTGCACACAGTCCCATGCGGTACTTGCTTGACTGGACCAGGACTGACTGGGGACTGGGACTGTTGACTCAGCACGGGTAGACTCCACCACTTGCCCACTTGCCTTACCACTTGCCCACTTGCCTCACCACTTGCCCACTTGTCTCAGCCTAAACGTGGGCAACTTCGAAAGGCCACCACTGGGACCAAACCCTCAATTGTCAATCTGTGTGTTCATGCCTTGGCCAGGTTGAAGAAGGTTGTGTCCATCGCGTCGTCAGCCTGATGCTTGGTTAGTTTACCACAAATTCTCACCTCATGCCATTTGTGCTTCGCGAACGCCAAGAGCTTCTCCTTGAACTCTATGATTTGGATGGGTTGGTTGTCAGAGGAGGTATGGTGGTCAAGTTGCTGGACACTCAGTAATTTCATTTCTTGTGTGTTTCTTTGAGCTGCTGATAGTTTAGAGTACCCTTTGCACATTTTAGCCAGGAAAAATCAGATGTTAAACCAAGTAGTTTATGAGTCTACCTCAACTTTTTTGCTTTGTCAGCATGCCCGCACATTGTTAACACATGCCTGAAATTGTGTTCTCTTTAGCAGCAAAGT